CTTGTTTTTTATTTGAATACATGCAAGTTGCTCTCAGGTGATGGAGGAGATATTTTGCCCCATAATAATTTGGCAGTGATTATGTGAACTGATGAGCTTCTGTTTGAATAGCTTATCCATATGTTCTTTAACCTCATATGAGAAAAAGTAGGACAGCTAATGGAAGATAATTAGTATCTGTGGCACCATCTGATTATGATTTCAGTTTTGTGTTTGGTATTCCTTTAGTGTCACACTTACACATTAAAGATCCTATCGCTGTACAAATGTCTGGCCAAAATGACTGAGGAAAGGCAAAATACATCTTTCTGCTCCAAGAAGAAAGAGTCTTGTGGCACCATAAAAACCAACAAATGTATTGTAGCACAACTTTCATAAACTAGAGTCCATGTCATCAGATGCTGATGAGGTAGGCTCTAGCCCACAAAAATATTTATGTTAATAGTCTGTTAAGGTGATAGGAGACTCTTTGGTTGGGTTTGCTGCTACAGACCAACGCTGGTCCTCTTCTGTAAGTGCCTTCTGTTTCAGACTGAGAGATCGTGGACTTGTCCAAGAAGGTGCCTGTAACCACAATGCATGGCCAAAAGAGAAAGACGTCCTCATCCAGCAGAATTCCCTTGGATGGTTCAGACTTGTCTACATTCTCCTTTCATTGTTTTCAGCTAAGAACACTGACCTGAAATTAACACACACAATGGCACTGGAAAAGCCACTATTTCCTCTACAGAGCTGCACTGTTACCTGGACGGTGTATTTTGGCAGTCCTCTGAGCTGACAGAAAGCAAAAGGGTTCCCTCAGTATACTTGGGCTTGAGTGTTGCAGTTGTGCCATCTCGTGGCAAACTGCTTGTCTAGCAGATAATTTTTATTTTGCACCAGCAGCTTTACAGTGCCTACAGCCTCCCACAAGAAGTCTGTAATGAAGATCTCACTGCTTATTTCAGTTGTTTATTTCCCCACCACCTTGGACGCCTCTAGTTAAGAACTTTCTTCTTTGAACTCACTATGTTTTCCCTTTCAACAAAAATGCCTCTATCTTAAATCCAATCTTCCATCTACAAGGTTTCTGTGGAAATATATCAGCTGTGGGAGAGGTGTGCCTCAAAACGTAGTATTTGCTGGATCCAAGCCTCCCTCCACATTGCTCTCAAACACGGATGCCCCTGCTGTTACCACATGATACCAAGAGCACTCCAGTGCAGTGTCAACAGATACAAAGCTGGACTTTTGACTGTGGGCCAGTCTTAGTTCTCACTGAGCTGTTGTGAGGCTAAATATATCCAATACATATTTCTGCTTCCTATTCAGGAAAACAGCTAGGGAGGCAGTTGAAACCATGGATGATAATGGTACTAAAGAAGGATGAGTTTGCAGAGAAGCTGAATGAATTCTTTTAACTGTCTTTGCTGTTGAACATATAGGACAGATACCTCTGCCTGATGTTTTTAGGGATTCTGTGGATCTGACATAAACAGTAGTGACTAAAGATGAAGTTCTCAATCTTATTGACAAAGTTAAATCACATGTATCCACCCTAGAGTTTTTAAAGAACTCAGATATGAAATTGCTAACTTCCTAACAAAAATATACAATAGGTACCCAAGGTCAGCCTCTGTAGCAGAGAACTGGCGAATGGCCAATGCAACACCAATATTTAAAATGGGATCTGGGGGGATCTTGGGAAATTACAGGCCAGTTAGCTCAACAACTGTTCTGGGTAAAACATTTGAAACCATTATTAAAGATAAAATTAATAGGGCAAGCTATTGCCTCAGAAGGGGAAGCTGCTGAGAAAACCAACATGACTTCCACAAGGTAAGTACCACCTCATTAAACTTTTATGGTTCTTTGAGAGTGAAGGTAAACATGTGGACAGGGTGACCCAGAAGACTACTGTTTACTTGGGCTTATAAAAGACTTTTGCCAAAATCCATCAGCAAAGACTACTGAGCAAATTTAACAGTCATGAGGTAATAGAGAGATCCTTCAATCCATAACTAATTAAAAACAGAAAGCAGAGTGTCGGAATAAATTGTGAATTCTTCCCATGAAGGGATGCAAACAGCTGGGTTTCAGGGGGATCTGACTGGGACCAAAGTTTTTCAACTTATTCATAAATAAATTCATAAATGGAATGAGGTAAAGTAGCCAGGTTTTCTGATGACACCAACTTGTTTAGAATGATTAAAACAAAAAGGGATCAGAAAGAATTTTGAAAGGAACCCTTTAAATGAGTGTAAAGTGATATACACTGAGGCAAAAAACAAAACAAAACAAAAAACCCATATTCAAATATAAGCTGATGAGATCTGAGCTACTGGTAACTAACCAAAAAGGGGATCATAGAGTTGTGGTGCTCAACTTGATGAAAATGTCAACAGCTGCTGTGAAAAAGATATTTGGGATAATGTTGGGCATAACTGGGATAATAATTGGGAAAGGAATAAAAAATGAAACTACCAATTGCATATTGCCCTTTTAGAAATCTGTGGTGTGACCACCCTTGGAATACTGTATATTTGGGGCCGAATTCAAGGTGCTGACAATAACATATAAAGCCCTAAACCGCTTGGGGCCAGGGTTTCCAAGGGAATGCCGATCCCCATACATGCAAACCCGATTGCTGAGGTCATCATCAGATGCCTTTCTCCGTATTCCTCCCTTCAGTGAAGCAAGGGGGGAATCTGGTGAGGAGGACGGCCTTCTCCGTAATAGCACCGTTTGTGGAGAACAGTCCCATCCGAGATTTGGCTGGCACCAACTTTGTATTTTTTTTAGGTGCCAGTTAAAAACATCTTTTTTTATTATTTTGGTGAGTGAACGGTTTTGTTTTGCTTTGTTTAATGGGTTTAAGATTTTAATGGGTTATGCTGTTGCTGCTGCCACTTGATTTTAATGCCAAATTTCTAGTATGTACATTTTTACCTTGTTTGGCTATTTTTACACACACACACACACACACACACACTTTACTTATTGACTGAGTTTACACTGAAGTTATTTTAATGAATTGTATTGTTTTTAATTGCTGTTAAATGTTGTTTATTATGTTGTGGGCTGCCCAGAGAGCCCATGACTAATGCGCACCATACAAATAAATAAATAAATATTCTTCTGGTCACAAGACCAAAAAAAAAAAGTAGTGCTGGAAAGTTCAGAAAAGGGCAACTAAAGAAAAAAAATCAAAGTTTGAAACAACTATCCTATGAGGTTGCAACAGCTGAGATTGTTTAGCTTAGAAAATAGGCAAGCAAGAGGAAGATTGTATAGAATTGTGCAAAGTGTGCAAAAACTGGACAGGGAAAGATTTTTTCCTCCCTTGCTCATAACAAATGGCCATTTCCATGAAAGTGATTGGTGGGAGATTCAGGACCGATAGAAGGAAGGACTTATTTACATGATGCACAGCAAAACTATAGTGTTCACTCCCACAAGATATAGCAACGACTTTAAAATGAGATTGCAGATTCATGGAGGATAAGGCTAACAATGGCTGCTAGTCCTGATGGCTAGAAGCTACCTCCCATATAAAAGGCAGCATGCCAGCGTACACCAGTTGCTGGGGAACATGGGCAAAAGGCGCTGCGGATTTTGTGTGGGTATCAGGTTGGCCACTGTGTGAATGGACCCCTGGCCTGATCCAGCATGGTGCTAATGTTCTCACAGGGAAGGCAGAGAACTCCACATGCCATCCTGAATTTACTGAAAGAAGATTGGGATAAAAAGTGCGCCAAATTAAAAATTAGACGGGGTCCAGAAGGCAACAAAAATGATCCGGGGCTTTGAAGCACTACTGTATGAGGAGAGACCAGGAGAACTATGTATGTTCAGCCTTGAGAAGAAAAGGCTGAGGGCAGACATAACAACACTTTTTAAGTACCTCAAAGGCTGTCACGAAGAGGAAGGTCAAGATCTCTTCTCGCTGATACCAGAATGTAGGACATGGAATAATCAGCTCAAGTTTCGACAACCCAGATTCAGGCTAGATATCAGGAAAAGTTTCCTCAGAGTCAGAGCAATACAACAGTGGAACCAGTTGCCTAGAGAAGTCGTGGGCTTTCCCATACTAGAGGCATTCAAAAAGAAACTGGATTGTCATCTGAGTGGGATGGTCCAACAGCTGGATCAGATGGCCTTCTTGGTTCCCTCCCACTCTACTATTCTATGATTTTATGAAATAAAATACTGGGATAGCAATTGCTAGAGGATGTTTGGCAGTTTAACTTTTCTGAGGGTGCATGGAGAGAAGCACTCTGCCTAGCTTAATTCCACTTTTGCTGAAGGTTATGTTCCTCATACATATACTTTAATAATTACTGAGCATGTGCAACTGCACATGTGCCCTGTTGTTTAAAAAGGCAGACTGTTTCAATAATCTAAACAGAAGCGGTTCATTAGCAGTGAGATTACAGTGGCTTGTTTTGGGACTTACTGTGGCAAAGCATATCCCAATGTCCCAGTGTTTCTATTTCCTCCACATCTGAGCACCAAAAGATTTTGTCTTCTATGATTATGTATTCCATTTCTATATCACCCCACAGCCAAAGCTCTCTGGGAGTGACACATTTTGATCCGGGTTATATTGGTATATTAGGGGACTCACATATGAGGTCAATTTTGGGTCGTTTCTCTGGTGTTTGTCACATGTTGGACATATTAGACAACCTTCAATTTTTGCTTTGCTATTTTTGGTTTCAAGTGTCATCTTGCACACTGATATACACAGTAATAAGGTGTGGAACAAGCAACCAGGAAGTATTTTTCAGAAAGATACTGTATATATGCATATAAGGGGACTCATGTATAAGGCAAGGTCAATATTTTGAGCTGTTTTTCTGGTGTCAGGTATAAAAGATGACCCCCAATTTTTGCTTTGTTATTTTAGGTTGCAAGGCTCATCTTACAGGCTGATATACAAAGTAACAGTACTTTCCTAAAACTAATATACTGGGTGCTACATTGCATAAAAACAAATGTGTATACAAAAGAACGAGTCATTATTTTCCATAACATTTATTCTTCCTTTAAAATTGAACACTTTAAATGCAAAAACTTTGAGTAATATTATTAAGTAATAAAGTCTCCTACAGGTGACTAATTTAGGATTTGAAGTGCAAAACCACTCAGCCTGCTGCCTTTAAACACACAGGAGGCAGTAAGTGTGCCAACCCGTGCTCCTGAGCAAGGCCCTGTTTTTCACTGGTAGGACCACCAGCTCCCTTCTACTGTGAAACTTTGCACTTGAACATAACTTCCCCCACCTGAAGCTTACAAGAGCAAGGGGCTTAACATTTCTGAGCTCCCCGCCCTGTAACAATGGGCAGGTCCACTTGGTCCTGGGCATGCTCAATATTCCTAGCTTGTGTGCAGCAGCATCTACTACAGAGGCTTTCCCCTTGGCCAGAGAAGAGTCCTCTTCATGCAGAATTCCTCTTGGCACATGCCTCTAGACCTCATAGCTTCATAGGATGAGCAATTTGATCCCTCCGCCTCCGTCCCCCTGCCCATGCCTTGCTTTTGACACGGAACTTGAGCATCTCTGCCTTGAAGTCCTGGTGATGCATGGGGCAGTAGCTTTGAGGCTCACACAGCTCCTGAAGGAAGATGAAGCAGAATAGATAGGCTGGTTTGTTTGTTTTTTAGCACAGAGTCTAGTGAACGCATCACAAAATTATTGAAATGCAACTTTTTGAAAAGCATGTTTCTGGACCATTTCTGTTTAAGGCTCAGAAAACAGTGGACTGTGGGTGGGATTTGAAGAATTCTGCATCCTGAACATCAGGGATGGGGACTGTGTGGCCCCCCCAGGCATTGTTGGATGATCTCCATACTGACTATGGCTGATGCTTTTCTGCAGTGGCACTCTGACCGTGGAATATCCACCTGCCAACAAATGGTTTGGCTGGTGCCTCTGTGAATGAATTTTAGGTGCCCAACTAATTTGCCCAAGCTTCTGCATTATCAGTAATTGATTCTTGATAGCTTTATGGGGCTTTGATACATTTTCTAACAATGTTTTATTATTTGTTTTTAGTAATTATTGTAAAATCCTTGTAAAGTTTTTGAGACAAGGCAAAACTACTCTGCACTCAAAACATGTTCAGTACCATCTTTTTATGAGCTAGTAGCACCCACATCTTAGGATTATTTGACATCTTCCAATGTGGTAATATTCCCTGCCCTTAAGTCAGAGGCAGCAACTTCTGGGTCAAAACATCTGTAGGACCACAACTCCCAACAGCCCTAGCCAACATAGCCAATGTGAGGGATGATGAAGACTGTAGTCCAAACGATCTGGAGAGCTACAAGACACCCAAGCCAACACCACCACCATGCTATTACCTTGTATGTCAGGAAGAAGTGCTTGTAGCCACCCCGAAGGACATACAGTTCTGGGTAGTGCAGTGCCGGATACTCGTTCATGGCTCGGTCTTCCTTCCTCAGATAGCGACACCTTCGAACACCAGCAACAAGTAAGCAAAGCAAGCAAAAAGAGGGCATTCAATATGGCAAGGAGCCTCCAAAAACAGCCTGGCTGCTGTCCCCAAAAGTCATTTCACCCCCACCCCCTGCCTCTCCTGACCCACACTCACATCTTGGGGGCTCTTTCAGAGGAATATTCACAGTGGAATACAAGGATGAGGCGCTTCTGTGGTGCTGACAGGAGAAGGGGCTTCCTCAGAAAGAATTCAAAGAGATCCTCCTGCCTGTGGATATTCAAAGCCCCCTTGTGGGAAACAAAGAGAAGCAATGGGGAACATGTACAGCCCAGAGCCTCATGCAAACAGGGTCACACAGCGGCATGAATCACTCACCTTGATGTGTCCTCCATGATACTCATAGGGGTAGCGACAGTCAATGATGCAGAATTTTTCTATGAGGTTCTGGAATTGATCATGAAGCAGGGAAGCCATCTAGAACAGCACGAGACAACTCAAGCTCAAGGTGGCACCACTTTCAGCTTTACCTACCTTACAGGGTTATTGTGAGCATAGGGAAATGCAATGTTGCCTCCTGCTGAGCCAGACCCCTGGTCCAACGAGCCCAGCATTGTCCACACTGTCTGGCAGAGGCTCTCCAGCAGGAGCCTTTCTAGCCCTCCTGGGGATGCCAGGGACCAGGCCCAGGACGTCCTGTGTGCAAAGCAAGTGCCCTGCCATGGAGCTATGGTCACTCTGAGATCTGGAGAAAATGTGCACATAGCTGGGCGGAGAGTAGGAGAACCATGGCCGTCCCCCTGAGCCCCTCATGGAGGAGGGATGGTGAAATGAAAATGGGACAGGTGGAACCACAGACAAACAGAAGGTGCCTCCCTTCTCCATCAGTTAGGCCGACTGAAGCAGAGGGCAGATCTCGCTGATACCCTTAAAAAGGTGGACTGTGATACAACTGGGATAATTTAGATGGTGCACAAAAGCATGTGAAAGACAGATAGCTGGGCCTCCAGAGTAGGCCCAGAGACTTTACAGAATCAATGGTGAGTAATGGAAAGGGCATGTGCAGAACCAGAGTTCAGCTAATGTGAAAAGGGTAGGGCAAATATATATGGATAAGGATGGACATGGATGCACGCCCAGCAGGGGTCATTGCTTACAGTCTCCGAAGTGATGTATCTCAGCTCCTGCTGCCGTCCTGCTACTGTTGGCAGAGAATACACCTGAAGAGACACAACCACATTCCATTGCTGCCCCAGCTCGATGCATTCTAAACCCAAGACTGTCTCCTTGGGTATGTGCCCCACTGATCTTAGCGGGGCATATTTCTGAGTAACCATGCACAAGTTTGGACTGCAGGTGGCAATACTGACTTTATTAGTTGATTCTCTGTTCAAAAACACGTTTCTGTGCTTTGAAAAACACCAACAACCTATCAGGATGTTAGCTTGGATTTAGTTTATGCAAGATTAAAAGACAAAGTGTGGAATGTTAGAGAATCCTCTAATTTGAGAACTCATAAGAGTTCTGTAAATTGGGGAAGGACACGTATACCTCATTTTATTGATCTTCACAGTCATTGCACTTCCTGGAGATGGTGAGCACGTGCATCTATCAGCACCATTTTTCTGACAGGGGTCACCCACTTTCTCACTCACATTTTGCTAATGTAATCCTCTCAATTCCGTACTGTATTTTCAAACTTTTTCATTATTGTACTGTATGTGTGTTATGATTATCTGTGATCTTTGATGTTACCATGACCTTTGCCATTATCTGGGGGAGTTTTGACCGTTCCTCTTCCTCCATGTCTCTCCCTTTCCTCTGGCCTCCCTATTCCTTGAGACACAACAATTCATATGCAGATTGGGCCAATTACTGCAATAACTCTACAGTGGCCCCTAGAGTTCAAGTGAGGGGAAGCTAGAAATGATTAAGCATAGTGAGGAAGGCATGTCAATACAGAGATAGGCCAGACAGACAGTCAACACTATAACCAGGGCTTTTTTTGTCATAGAACGCACCCGAACGGTGTTCCAGCACCTTTTTTTGACGGATTTTTCCAAGTGATTGTGAATCGCCCTGTTGGGCGTAACAGATCAGCAGCAAAAATCATTAACATAGCGCCTGCGGGCTGCTTGTCTGTCGTGAAGGCGCTGCTCGGCTTGGGACACTGCTCAGCTTGGGATCGGTCGTGTGGTCGCGCACTGAGTGCTTACTGCCGGCAGCGACCATTGTATAAAAGTGTGACCCCAAGACATGAGTTCCGGCACTTTTTTTTTTTTTTTTTTACAAAAAAAGCACTGACTATAACTATATGTGACCAGAGTTATTGCTATACTTGATTTATTGTAGGGGTCTGGAACCAAATTCTCAATATTTCTTAAGTATGCCTGTACATAATTTATTAAAACAGTCAGTAGCAGATTAACACAGAAGAGGAGGCAAACTACAAAACTGTAATAAAATGGAGGGGTGAGGAGACAGCATGGAACACAATGGCTCTACTCACATGGAAAGTGAGACCTGATGAGAACATTCACGGTGGCTGAAGGAATATTATCAGTGGTCTTCTTGCTTCTCAGTTTGTAATGAGTATAATTACCTGGCATTTTATACAGCTCCTAACTCTGAAAGTTTAAGTCTAGCACATTGCTCTTTAACCTTGAGTATTAGAACAGTTGCTCTGCTTAAATCCAAAGTGAGAAATGCTTTGGTTAAAGAAATAGTACATGGCACCCCCTACTGGTTTTGGTTGCTTCCCTCTGTAAATCAAATTCACATTAAGATATCTGGATGATATAGTAGAAGGGGAATAAGGTAACATATTTTGGGATTAAGAGACACTTCCTACATATTTAAACTTTTCTGCCAAAACAAGAATTTCTGAGAAGCAAATGCTTGATTTTGGATTCTGTGAAAAAAATTTTTTAGTACTACTACAGGTGAAACATGGCTTTGTGATGGTGGCTAAGGGGTAAAGAAGTGGCTAAGCCATCCTGTGCCAGTTAAAAAAACTCAGCATCCATTAATTAGCACAGCAAAGTTATAACCAGAACTGTGTTTAATGCATTTCCCAACAAACTGAACCACATCCATGGACTGCAGAGCAGGTGACACAGTGCGTAGAAAAAAAATGCATGAAAATTCAAGTGAAACATGCTTAAGTGCTGAACATTGTGTGGTCTCTTGTTTCAGTGATGTTTAGCACCAAAGACTAAATAAATAGGGTTACAGTTTTAAGAAAACCACCCAGGTGCAACTTCCCAGTCTCCAACTATTAAGGGAGCAGCTCCCCATTCAATTTCAATGTATTTGAATCATACCAGTTTGAACACGAAAGAGGGCTGAGTGTGCTAATTATGTGGGGGCTGCTCATACAAACCAATTAATAGCTGGAGCTCCATCCACACAGTTGCTTTGCAAGCAGTCTCCCAAACAGGTCAAGGAAGCAGCCATTGTAAAGATTGTCTAGCAAGATACATCCAGTTTCTGTACTGGATGGTGCCTGTCCACTCACTTCAGCACTGGAGGCAACACACTGGCCCAAGATTGGAGGCATTGTAAAGAGAGGGTGCTTAAATATGCAGGATGCTCACATCTCCCAGTATATTTAACAATTCAGAGGAGCAGTTCTGTGTAGGGTCCCATCTGATTGTGTACTGTTCTACAGCAATAGAGCAAAAAACCCACATTCTCTCCCCTCCCCACAGCCCCCAACAAAGGAGAGGGTATCCAGAAGAAACCTACACTGGACAAATCTCCAATCAGCTGCCTGAAGCCATGGTCTTGATCAAGTGCTCTGACAATCTCAATGTCAGAAAGGGAGGCTGTTTTCTTCAAAAGCACAATCTAAAAACAAGCAGGCAGAGTCATCGGCAGTGTGTAAGTCAAAAAGTTGCTGGTCAGTAACCTTGTTTCTGTCTCTGTGGAGGCGCAACTGTGGGATTGACTGCCAGCTCTCATGTTCCGCTGGCTGCCTCCCAACAGCTCTCAGCACAGCATTACTGTTAAGATGAGGGTTCAGGCAACAGGCCATGGAGATCAGGTCCTGGAGCCAAGCAGAATCTTACCCCATCAGGCTCCTCCTGGATTGGGGTGTGCCTCCATTTCTCCTTGGTGGGAGTTCCATTCTCTTGACCCTTCACTGCCTTCTTCAACATAGGCCTGTTCAGTTTTTCTGGCAGCGATGGACAGCGGAAGAGGTGGCTTTTGTTCAGAGAGACCTGCTCAGAGCAGTATGCAAGCAGGAAAGGAAAGGAGTGAGGGCAGCAAAAGGAAAGGGGAGGGAAACAGTGCAGTAAAGAAAGCAGGTGGGAAAACTCTCCTGGGTCCTATACCTCAGAAGCCCCTATCATTGGATGGCAGGCAGCGCCAACCGCATTGTTAGGATTTTAGTTTTGGGTCATTCTTCAACAAATGTTTCCTGGGCTGAGTTGATCAAATTCTTTCATCTCAGAGGGCCTTGGCAGCCCTACCACCTCCTCAGCACTTATTCACATTGATTTATGCTAGCCATTTCTAATGTACAACGATTATTTTTGTGGGGTGAGGGGTGGGTTCTAAAGAGTCATTTCCTTACCAGGTATACGAGAGGAAAAATTTTACCTGCCACAGGCAGGAAGCCAAAAGCCTGAGGTTGCTATACAGTAAATGGAAGTTCATACTCACCTCACTGACATTGATGTCCTGCGTCAGGAGCGGTCCTGACAGGAAAGTAACCATGCTGGAGACATGCCCAGCAAACGGCTTCTAAGGAAGAAGCATAGAAAAACAAACAAATACAGAACCCAAGGAGAGGGCAGAAGGGTCCTAAATCTCTAATAGCTGTATAACAGACCGCATTTCAACAGATACATGACGAACACCACCTTCTGAAATTGCCATTTTTATACAAGTATTAAAGGTGCAAGAGCCCTGTCATTGTGGGCACACAGCCACCATAGATGGAAGCCAACTTGCATTGTCCTGAGCAGGAAGACTGGGAAACCTAGCATGCTTCTGCTTGTAAGAACACACCAGTCTCCCTTTTAATCCCAGTGACACATGGGAAACGTAGGCTATAACCCTGAGGCTGCCCAGCCAGTGTCCAGCAACTGCTCAGCTGTTTCCCTTTCATAGAAAGTTGCAGACTGCTACTCCAGGGCTCCTGGTAGGCCGGCTGAAAGCTACAGCAAGACAAGTATACTGCCGGTGGCGTCACACTGAACCACGTGAAGGGACGTGGTTAGCGCCATTTTATTACTATGATGTAGTAATAGGCTTTAAAATGTTCTTTATGTTTTCAGTTGTTTATTCTTTTAACTTGTTCCTATAATTTTATGTTGTATTTTAATAGCAATCACCTTGGGACTTTAAGTATTATAATCAAACCAAACTATACGCTACTGTATCAAGATGCCATTGCCTTTTAATTAAAAAAGTATGAACAGAAACATGAGAATTTACTCCATGGGAATTGGGGAAAGTAGGAACTGCAAGCATTACAGAGCATATCAAAGTGTTGCAAAGATCTCCCACACCCAGTTTTGCACACTGGGCTGCCTTTGCAAAATAGTCCTCAGCACCTGCTATCCATACATCAGTATTCCTGGGCTAATGCTTTGTACATATTCTATCTAAATACACTTTAAAACGGTATGGTGGTTAAGAGGAAAAATGGCAATAACTTGTAGGATCCCACACCATCCAGGGCTGGCAGGACCTTCTGTTCTGCTTCTTAGATTTTCCGTGCAGTGCAGGCACACTTGGGAGTTGATCTTCTCACCTCAGTCTCTTCCTGCTCACAGGGGCAAGGTTCTGGAAAGCCATCCAATGCCTCTGGAATTCTTGGAGATGCCACTGCAGCAATGGGGCTGCCAAGATCTTTCATCTCATAATCCTCCGGATCCCCTGCATCCTGTCAAGAAAAGAGGCTCATAGGTGTCATCCGCCACTTCTCAAGCATGAAAACACTCATAGTTCAGGAACATACACACTGACCTTCATTTAACTTATCCTAGAATTGTTTATGTCTGCAACTATGTGAATAATTAGCCTCCCCTATTGGCTTTCTGCACTCTGAGATTTGACTGGGTTGTTCTAAACAATTCATAAATACCCACTTGTTTTTATCTTGATTTCTTATCCATGTAAGTGCACCTGCCATTTTCTTAGTTAAAACCATCCAAAAGGGATCCATATGCCACTGTATGTAAACGTACTCCCTCTGTGACCCAGACCTCTCCAGTAACCAAAGACAGATTAAGGTCCTCAAAATGATGGCTGGCATCTAAACCTAACAAAGCATGGAGGCCCCATTCACCGCCATTACCAGCATCTCTGCGGGAATGTTAAGCTTAGCATACAAATCCTATTGAGAGCTTTAACCAGACGCATCATTTCCATTCATCATGCCTACAGAGAAGCACCTGCATCAATACTTACCTGAAGACAAGGGCTGTTCTATGATTCTATAGGGCTGCTTTAACTTGGAGTCCAGCATTAAGCAGGGGGTTGGCCTTGATAGCCTTTCAGGTTCTTTCCAACTCTACCAGGATTCTTAGGAAAGGTTCTTTTTAGAAGTGGGTAGATCTGAGTCACAGATTCTCCTGTATCAGTGCAGATCAGCTTTCCTCAACCCGAGACTCTCCAGCTGTTTTGAATCACAGCTCCTAGCATTCCTGACCAATTCCATGCTGGTAGGATTAATGGGAGCTGGAGAGCACTAGGTTGGGGAAGGCTGGTGTGTAGTTGGTACTGGACACGCAGGATGACACTGGGTAAATCAGCTAAGTGTAATAAATCTGTGACTATATGAGTAATTAGCCTACAGTTATTTATATGTAGTAAAATGCAAGCCTGGGCACTATTTGCAAACCATTTTAATTAAATTAGATAGCCATCAGTATTAACTCACCAGCACCGCAGTATAGCAGGTCAGCTGTGAGGCTGGCAGCCACTTCTGAAACAAGAGAGATCCGGGCATATGCCATCCAGGGTACTTGAACAGGCTTCCCTCCTGTAAGCAGATAAGGAAAGGAGGCCCAATCTCTGTAGGAGTTTCAGAAAAGTCAGGGAACTTCACCACTATGATATGCAAAGGAAGTGTCCAGTCTATGAACCCTTTGGCTCTATAGAGCAGTCTGCCTCCTGCCTGCCTGCCATTCTGGCCCTCAGGTTACAAATCCTAAAGAGGAACACCCACCTGCTGCAAGAGGTACTCACATTCTCCTTATTCATGGAAGGACTCCTGATCTCATTGATAACTTGGTGCATGGAGCTTGGGGTTCCTGGTGTACTGCACCGTACCTGGGGCTGAAATGCCAAGAGAGGAAGGGGGAAACCCAAATATTTTCTGCAAATCATACTGAGCGGGAGTTTTAGAATAGCAGCAGCTCATACCTCCAAGTCTTCCAATTCATCTCACAGCCTCTGTGCACATCCCAGTAGTGACAGAACGCCATCTCCAGGAGAAATACTTACCTGGAGTGATTGCACACACAGCTTCCTTGAGCCCCTGCTGAGAGAAAGAAACGGCTAGCGAGGGAACCTGGCACAGCCTGTTTTGCCTTGCCAACACCTCCACGGGTTTTATTAAGATGACCACAATTTGCAGAGTTCGCGACATTCTTCTCCCTCACTTTTACAGAAAACGGATGGAAATAAAGTCTCCTATCCTTTCCCGTGGCTCACTCAATAAGCTGGAAATCACTTTACTGTCCACCTCTCAGCTTATTAAAAGGGCAGGTCATCTGCTGAGAATGAGCTGTAAAGTGAAGTGGCTAACTCCTCCTTCATATTCCCAATGCCTGAAAGCAATTTGAAAACCTAATCCAATACCATTTTTCTTCTCACGTTGCCTAGCAAAGACCGAATCCTTAACATTCTGGCATTGCATGCATCTTGATAAGGAAAGAAGAAACAGAAGATCATCAATCAGGGTGGCATCTGTGGAATCAGCACTGACTCAGGGACAACAGTTTAGTGGATTTGACAATGGGCCAGCACTCCCACCACCGCACACAACATTCACATGCAGCGAGCCAGAAGTCCTTTCCCTGTATGACTACTTCCACCAATGTATCATGAGCATGATTCAATGGGCTGTTAAGGCTGAGCAGCCTGCTCTATATTTCATTACACTTGGAATCAAAGTCATGGATCTGAACCTCTAGGACTGGCTTTGTGTTACTCAATTTGCCTGGAAGATCTACAGGGTGAGAAGGGTGTGAATGTGTCTGCCCTGCCAGGTATGCAAGCTTGGCTGTGTACAACTCTACCATGCTAGCTGGTACACACAGTCGTTCAGCTTATTTCCAAAGCATCCCTCAGTGCTGAACGAATTAGTTGTCACTGGGTTAAGAACAAGTATAAAAGAATTGTTCAAGTACAAGAAGTGTAACTGGAAAAAGATCAATCCCATCATAACTGATGAATGGATAAATAGGATGTGGGACATAATCCATATTATTAAGTTGACAAATGGAATACATATTGCAAAACAAAGACAGCAGGAAAATAACTTTACAGGAAAGTGGAGTCTTTTTACAAGATTCTAAAATAATGTTCAAAACATAAATCCAAATATATTGTTGGATATAATTTAGAGCATAATCCTATGGCCCTCAGGCAGCATTAAGGCGGTTGCAGGACACTTCAGAGCCTCATAACTAAGGTCAGAAGTAGAGCCCCACCTTTGCAGCTGGGGATCCATGTCCTGATCCTCCCTCCAATCCACCTCTCAGGCAGTGTGGAAAGAGCCCTGCTAGCTGCTTCTCTGAGGTTGGGAAAATGACCTTGGGAGCAAAATGGGTGGACTGGAGAGAAGACTGAAACTGCTTGGATGGTGCTGCCGCCTCTTTCCTCCTTCTCTGAAGCACTGCAGAAAACAGCTGCCTGGCTAAACTGCAGAATGGGAGGAGCAGCGGAGATGGAGGTGGCACACTTAATCCATTAAGTAAAGGGATCATAGGAAAGTTTGCATGTATTTATTGGAAAATGTTGAACTTGTTGATATTATCCCACTGCAATTTATATTTATAGTTATATGCCTATGGAAGGGTTTATATATGGCTGTATTATAATATTTTATTTAAATACATTATTAACACAAGCCCCCACCACTGCCTTCCCTTTGAAAGCCTATAGCAACAAAGACAATTTCAACAAAGGAAAGAAGGCATTTTTATTATTTGTAAAATCATTATAATGCTTAAAAGCCATGTATTCTACTCATTTTAGGTTTTAGGTCACAAGATTTTTCCAACAAGCTGTTCTTTAAACCATAGAAGAGGTCAACAGCAGAGGAAACTCTAGCAAGTTATAGCATGCTCTCTCTGCTAAAGAGTTGAAATTTCCTAGAAGCCCACATCATTTACACTCAAAAAAGGAAGCCAATGGAGAAATTCTCCTCTGTTGATCCTGTGTTAGTCTCAGCTTTGAAAGCATATCAACACTGAAAAGCTCAACAAATAAATCCAAATATGGTTAAGCTATAAAAATATATAGGCAGAACTTACAGTTGATCTTGGAGTTCTGTGAAGCCTTTCTGCTCTGCAACAGGACAGGGAAAGAAGTCAGCAAGATTTTAATACAGAAACGGATCTTACCACCTGTAAAAATCCCTAAGATGACAGATGAACCAGGAAAAAAGTCAAGATGGCTGAACATCAAGAACTCTTACTGATAGTATACAAGTCCAAGTCCAATCTTTACCACATGATTTACCGATTATTATTATTAATTTCTTTTCTAAACTTCCCCACAGTTGAAGCTCTCTAGGCGGTTTACATTATCTATAAAAACAAATCAGAAAAATCAGAAAAAAACATAAAGTTAACAGCTAAAAACAGATTATAAAAACAGACAATACAAGGAAAGACAAAGGAATCACTCTGTGAAACATCCTGGTGATTACCCTGAGGCCTTTGGGTGACCGATTTAATTTTTAAAAGCCTCTGGAAAGAGGGCAGCCTTAACCTGTTCCTGGAAAGAATATAGATTTGGCACGAGCTGGATCACAGTGGGGAGGTTATTCCATAGATGGGGAGTCACCACCAGGAAAGACCTTCCCGTTGTTGCCACCCTCCACACTTGCCTCACAGTTGGCACTAGGAGGAAGACCTCAGAGTGCAGCGCAGAGCATGTTGAAATAACCTAATTCAAAGACTACCAGAGCATAGACTACTGAAGCCAGGCTGTCCCTTTCCCGACAGGGGCATAGCTGGACCACTGGCTGGAGCTGGTACAAAGCATTCTGAGTCACTGATGGCACCTGAACCTCAAGTGAATAAGACGGATCGAGGATCCCCAATGGCAACCCCCTCTAGAACAGGTTGGGTACCCACCCCCAAAGGAACCACCCACCAACAGCATCTCAGTCTTGCATGGACTGAGCTTCGGTTTACTAGCCCTCATCCAGTCTACTGTTGTAGCCAGACACCAGTGTGGCACACCCACAGCCTCACCTGCTGATGATGAAAAGGAGAAACAGAGCTGTGTGTCATCACAGTATTGATGGCAACACACTCCAAAACTCCAGATGACCCCATTCAGCAGTTTCACATAGATGTTAAATAGCATGAGGGACAGAACAGGCCCCCGATGAACTGCATGCTGGAAATCCACAGGGCTGAACAATATTCCCCAAGCACCACCTTCTGGAGACTGCCCTCCACGTAGGGGCAGAACCGCTGCAATGCAGTGCTTCCCAATCCCAGCTGAGGCAGTCACCCAGAAAGATACCGTGACTGATGGTATCGAAAGCCTCTAACCAAGCCAGGAGAACCAACAGGGTTGTGCTCCCCGTCTCTCGCCTAGCATAGGTCATTACATAGGGTGACCAAGGCTATTTCCATGCCAAAACCAGGCCTGAACCCCAATTGAAATGGATCCAGATAATCAGTCTCATCCAAAAGTGCCTGGAGCTGGTTGGCTACCGCCCTTTCAGAAACCTTGCTCAGGAAAGGAATATTTGCTTCTGGCCTGAAGCTGTTCAGATCTTCCAGCTCAAGGGAGTATTTCTTCAGCAGTGGTCTCACCACTGTCCCTTCAAGGCAGCATGGAACCACTCCTTCTCACAAAGAGGTATTAATGACCTTGCTAGCCTAGCCAGTCATTCCTTCCTTGCTGGCTTTTATGAGACAGGACGGGCAAGGATTCAGTACAGAGGTAGTAGAGCAAACCTGTCCACGCATGTTGTCCACATCTTCAAGCTGTGCTGATGGATGTGTTATGTTTCAAAATGTATCCAGTTGCTGTTTAAGTTTATGACAGACACAACACACAGCGAGCTAAGCTTGTCATGGCTCTGATGGAGTGGAAAAACCACATCACCAAGGATGGATAGGACATAAAGATAAATGAACCTGTATATTGAAGGTCTGCCTGCACTGGAGCTATTGCTTTGGCACATTAAACCTTAAGCACAAGGAATATAAGGTGCAGGTACCCCTTTTTCTTGTAAGCAGCTCAGTCAACCCCACAATCCAGTTTGTACAACTCATGTTGATCTTGGAATCACTGCTCACTGCATAAGCAGCATAGAACCTCTTTCAGCTCAAGAGCTGAATATAATTTTTGAGAATTCTTGAGGGCCATGTTCCAATGGTGGGTAGAACAGAGCTAAAATACTAGCTTAATCTAAAGCTAGATTTTAATCTAAAATCTTAATCTTACTGTCACTAAGTAAGGTTTGGAAGAGGTATTTTGGTTTTCTTGGAATGGGAAAAAGCTGTACAAAAGTCTGGAAAATGCCAAATGATCAGTGGTTGAGGAAGAGGAGGGAGTAAAGGAAGCAGTCTTCCAGAGGCTCTTAGGTCTAAGGTTCTCCACCCCTGCAGAGCATCTACCATATAGATGAGTAGGTAACCAATAGTGTTTGGGGACCAGGGCAAACTGTGGGGATCAGATGCATTTAATTAGCATATCAGCTTCCTTATAAAAGTGGGAACATGGAGACAGTACCTGGAACAATATGTGATAGGTTCTGAATAAAAAGCTTTGGAACATGTTCAAGATGGGCAAGAGCCTTTCCTGGCCCGGATGAACTGTGACACCTGAAGTTTCATTTTTTGTGGGGGAGGTCTTACCTGGCACCCCTATACCTAGAGACTGGCAGTGAGAGACTTGGCAGCAGTATGAGGAAAACAAGTTCTTGGAATACAGAAATGAGGAAATTTTGAAGGCAAACCTACTTAAGGCTGTGAAAGCTGGAGAGTAAAGAAAGCTGAGAGGAAGGAAATCGATGTGTTTAGAACATGATTCTGGAGAACTTCGTGAATGTCCTGGACTGACAGAAAGACAAACAAATTGGTCCTAGATCAAATCAAGCTAGAACTTCCTTAGGAAGCAAAGATGACAAACTGAAGCTATCATATTTGGGCACATCATCAGAAGGAAAGACTCACTGGGAAAGACAATAAAGTCTTATTGCCAAAGGCAGAAGAAGCCCAAATATGAGATGGCACAACTTCATAAAGGAAGTCACAGCCCTGAATTTACAAATGCTGATCAGGGCTGCCAAGGACAGGACACTCTGCATTGTTTCCATTCATAGACGGAGCAACATGACAGCACGTAGCAGGAGCAGAGGACCATCATCAAGGGTCAGGTGCTGCATGTCAGCAAGGAGGGAGGCTGCTGGCCAAAGTGAGTGGAGTCAATGCCCAGCGTTTGCACAGCCACTGCTAGCATTTGCCTGCATCACATTTTATCACACAAACGCAGATGCTTCCTAGACACATCATCTTAGTTGGCCCATGTAGATCAGAAGGGGGCATTTTTTTCTGCCACATCTTGGAGAGATCAGAAACATGCCTCTTCCTCAGCCCCAGTGCTGACAGAGGACAAAAAGCTTATTCCTGAGCTGCTGTACACTGGAAATGAGTCTTGCCCATCTCAGTGCTGGGGAGGGAGAAAGGATTGCGGGCCGGGGAAGAAGCTTGGTGGGTCATATTCGGCACTTGGGCCAGAGGTTCCCCATTTCTGCTGGTCTATGCCATATGCTATTCCTTAGCTGTTCACCTCATAATCCAAAACTAGAAGGCCATTAAGGAAGGACAAGGACCACATGGCACCTATAACAGCATGAAGCACTAGCCACATTTCCAGTCAAGTTTGTAGATACAAACATAATTCAGAAAGGCTGTTCTATAAAACAGATAACAATAATTGTAATAATAATGACATTGCATTTACATCCCACCTTTTTAACTCTTGTGAGGAACCCAAGGCAGTCTACCTAGCTCCATTTTTATTACCCTGTGAGGTAGGTTAGACTGAGAGGGAGTGACCGGACCAAAATCACCCAATGAGCTTCATAGCCAAATGAGGACTAGAACCCAGATCTAGTCAAGATAAAACAAATCAAACAGATTTAATTTAATTAATCCCATTTATTAATTATATTTATACCCCACCTTTTTTCTTTCCAAGGAACTCAAGGCAGCTTACATAATTCTCCCTTTTGTGGCAATCTTATCCTCACAACAACCCTGTGAGGTAGGTTGAGCTGAGAGTCTGACTGTCCCAAAGTCACCCAGCAAACTCCATGGCTGAGTGGGGACTAGAACCCAGATCTCCCGAGTCCCAGTTCCACACTTGTAACTGCTACTCTGTACAGGTTCCCAGACAGAGTGAAACACAAATGGGATCCAAATTAGCTTCAGCCCAATTACCCTAGTTTAACTGCCCATAACACTGGCATTAAGATAACAGGGAAAGGATGAGCAAGCTGACAGACCTGATGATAACAAAGGGCATTCTTGTAGATTTGTTGTTCATATTTATTTATTTTTCAATTTATATCCTGCCTTTTTCCTACAAAGGGCTCAAGGCAGCTTACACCATTCTCCTCCTCCTCCATCTGATCTCCACAACAACAACCCTGTGAGGTATGTTGGGCTGAGAGTCTGTGACTGGCCAAAGTCACCCAGTTGGCTCCATGGCTGAGCGGGGACTAGAACCCAGATCATCTGAGTCCCAGTCCCATGCTCTTAACCACTACACCGCACTGGCTTAAGAACAGCAGCAGAGAACAATCCAAGTTGTACTGCTAAGCAGTTATTACCAGTTTCCACTGTTTCTGGGGCTGGGCTGAAGTTGAAGGCAGTTTCTTCTTCTCCATTACTGAGATTGGACAGATCTAGGCGGCGTCTTGGGGTATCCCTGCAGTAGGACAGTGACAGGGATGCATGGGGAAAGCAGACAGACACACTTTATACAAATTAATACATGAGGGCAAAATAAAAGACTGAGTTGCACTGATTACATCTTCCAGATGCCTATTTCTAAAAGTTTCCTTGCCCTGCACACCTACAGGAGAGACAGACATCCTAGCCAGTGACCCGACTGTATTTGGCAGCCATTTTGCCAGCTTCTAGTAGCACTCACTAGAACAGGGGTGGGCAACCCACAGCTCCAGAGCCGCACGTGGCTCTTGAACCCCTCTGCTGCGGCTCCCTCGCTCAAAACATGCACCCGCACAGCTGCTGATCTGCTAGAAGCTCCACTCAGGAACTGCACTAGCTAGTTAAGTAAATCGCTACATTCCTCTGCTAAACAAGCTTCCTGCAGGCTCTCATGTTACACAAAATGCTGCTGAAAGGATTTTCTTTGTCCCAATGTAATCTCCTTCATCTGAATGTTAAAAGCTGGACTTAGGACCTGTCACAATTCACAGCACTTGACTGTTTATCTGCTAATCAGTCACTAAACACACCTATCATCTCACATGGATTAACTGAGCCCCCCCCCCCCACCAGGCCAACCATGGATAAATCGAAGAAGTTTCTGAAGAAAACCGAACTTTAATGGTAACGGTACATGGGTAGATTCATTTGCTTTTACTGCTGACGAACTTATGGGGTTTGCTGTTTAATGCATGCAGCCCTTTAGCACTGACTTCGACTCTGCAGGAAGCTGTTCTCCTATTCAAAATGTATGAAAGGAGTCCTACTAGTTCATAATGTAAGATTAAAAATAACAGTTTTTAGTGACTGAACAAGAGGTGCAGCTAAATCATAATGAAGATATACATAGCATTAAGGTAATAAACGATATGTGCAGTGTTATCTTCATTTTAGATGTAAAAAGGGTTTTGTGTCTCCCAGTGTTTTCTTTTGTGTGGGCAACGGGTCCAAATGGCTCTTTGAGTGTTGAAGGTTGCAGACCCTGCGCTAGAAGATGCCTAGAATGCTGCACAAACAAGACTATCCCTGTGGAGTGGATCAAGACTAAATTAGGCACATTTGGATCCCACTGAAACCAGTCTGGAAAGTCAACCATCCCACTGGCTGGGCTTACATAATGTGAGAGCTGGTACTCACAATATTTTGTTGAGTCATACAAACCCAGACCAATTTCCCCAGGGCTGGACAACAAGCCACCTCAAACAAGCCATCAACTGCTATAGGGGTTTTGCTGGCCGCAATGCTTACGATGTCATCGGAGCCCATACAATTGATCCCACCATGGACAGGGGAAATTGACTAGCAAGCCCACCGCAACACTGATCTTGCTATGGAGTTACCAAGTAAGCACCAGCTGCACTTGGAGGCAGCCAGCCCTGGCTTTCCCTCTTCTCCAGCCACAGCTTCCCCACCCCACCCCCCCCTTCGGGGCAGACTGCAAACACTGGCTGTCAGGCTGGATTTCACAACCCCGTTTTGATAGTAATCATAGAACTGGAAGGAACCATAAAGGCCTTTTGGTCCAACCCCCTGCTGTTGCAGGGCACCAATTTACATCATCCCAACTCAGATGTCTGAGCAGTCTCTCCAAACTGCCCAAGCAAGCATGCTGAAGGGGATGCCAAAGTCTTAAAAAAATGTACAAACTGCATGATTTCCCCCACACCTTCAGAAATTAACTGCAGTTGTGCAACTGTGAACTGTCACAGCTGCACTATTTGGGGATTTGAAACCTTGGCTTGGGGCAACATCAAGCTAGGATATCTACAACTAAAAGTTGGATACCTATGTTGGACATTGCTTAGAAGAGGGTCTAAATACATTTTCTCCTCCTTTAGGTTTTCTTAACAGCTGTCAAGCATTTATTAAAAGCTGTCAAGAAACACTGAAGTCATGAGCATTCTTTAGCTACAGAAAAGTTTTTTGTAAGAAATTTAATTCCCCTTTGCAGCAAGATCCTTAAATTCTTCCTTGCTTGGTTCCCACTGGGGTGCACATTTTGCATGTTGTCCTGAGCTTTTGGACACTTTGCTTGGAAAGGGCAACTGTGCGCCCCCCCTCCCCACTTTTAAGGAAAATGTCCCTTAAAAGGTGGGTTGACTAGGAACAGGAAGCTTTATCTGTCTATGCTCCAGTCCACCCTCCCAACTTGGGAGGTAACATCAGGATTAATAGCCACTGATAGATTTATCCTTTATGAATTCATCTACTTTGACCCCCCCCCACACCTTATCTTCCTGGGCCTTGTTACTTACTTTAGCAAAGTGTCAGCACCCACCTGGCTCATACATCCCTGCATACATCCCTGTGATAATCAACTGAAAACCATCCACTAGAACTTTGACACTGCCTAATCTGAATGGTACTGTATACACATATTCTATTCCTAATTTTATGATTAACCCATTTTGAAAAGAAACATTAGTCCCATAACACTATTAGGAACGGAGATTTACACGGCTAATGTGCTGAGGTTCCTGAAATCTTGAGTTAGGCACAAGACTGGGGTAAGTAGTGGCTCTGGAGTAACAGGTAGTGAGACCTCAGCATCCTGTAATAGATTAACCACCATCCTGCAGTTAGATCGGAACTGAAGATGCAAACGAGGAGTATCAGCTTCTGCGAGGAAGTTCTCAGACATGGTGGTTTACAGTCCCCACTGAGCCAACTGTGGACAAAACAGCAACTTATTATTTATAATCTGTTTTTCTGCTATTTCAATCAGAACAGCTTACAGTACCAACACAAAGCAATGCAAGATGATCATGAAAATACAGCCAACAATGAAATGACTAAAAATAGCTGTATTTCAAATAGCAAAATTACATTCTGGTAACAGCAGGGCTAAAATCAGAAGCTTAGCCTCCTTGCTAAAACTTTACATTCTAACCACAGTCAGACCGAAATATATCTTGCACATTAAAACTCGGCTCATCTGTAGCCCAGTAAGACAAATCCTTCGCCAGCTCGGATACCGTCCGAGGCAGCCTCAAGAGGCGACCGTCCACCGGCCCGCCCTACCGCTTGCTTCCACTCCCCACGCGCCGCCGGACGAAGACGGACTCAAAAGCACACAGGATTCCAAGAAGTTAAACCAATCCCAAAGGCCGCTCTCTTCATCAGCCAACCAAAACGAAAAAGGCCCGGTTGCGGCTTTAATAGCGGCCTTTTAATTGGTAAGCATGTGCGCTTACGCGACCGGGGCCGCGGAGCGTCCATTGGGAGAGGGGGCGGTGGGCGGGGCTTGTTGAACGATACTTGTTATTGTTCGGCGACCGTTCGGGAAATCTCCGCCCTCCTTTGTGCTCCCGGCTCGGCCAATCGCTTGCCAAAGTTCCTCCTTCTTTCTTATCCTCGGCACGCGATAGGTCGGAGACCTGCTACGAACCCCGCCCTTCTTGCCTATTGGAGGGAGATTTAAACCACGGGAAGAAGATGTGGTTTTGCTGCCCACGTTATCGTGGTTGTAGAGTAAGTGATGTCGTTCGGGAGTTCTCTGCTAGATGGCTGCGTTCCTGCGGCCAGCAGGTATCAGCCCGGGGATTTCGGGGACTGGGTGGAATTTAAACTGATCAGAGACGAAGTTGCTGCTTCTGGTTATTCGATTTTGTTCTGTCCTCTTTCCACTGGAACCTTGGTCTCTAACGCTGGTCGGATAGTGGTATGGAAGCACAGAATAAAATGGGTTGCAGAACATTGTTGTAGCGCTCTAAAGCTTGTATAGATATCAGCTAAAGTTGGCCGGGCGTTTCGTGTCCTATATGCTGGGGGTGGTGGGAGTTGTAGTCCAAGACATCCGAAAGACGCCCCGTTGGGGAGGGATGGTTTTTAGGCACAAGCTCTATTTTGAACGGGGTTTAATTAGAGTTACGCTAAGTTCTGTTTTTTGAAGGCTGGGTGTGAAGAGCATCTTCTGTATTTGGGGGCTGGAACTTCTTTCAATTGGTTTAGAAGCATGATTTTGTGCTGTGTTTTCCTAATTCCGTGTTTTGAATGGGAGCAGTGGAAACCATTTTAGTTGGTTCTCATTATCTAGAATTATAGCATTGCTTAAATTTGCTTTTGAACTCTAAAATGCCGTTTGGATAATAGCCAAAGTTCTTGTGAGTTGTCTGTTGTTCTAGCATACATTTCTGTATTTCAATTTGTTTTCTGCTCTATGGCTCTTTGAGTTTCAGCCATGGAATACTTGCTCCTGGGAGTCACCTGTGCTTGAAAGACATGAGCTAAGCACAAAACAAAACCAAAAACAACGGGTAGGATGGGATGAGTTACATGAATGTGGTAGGACTCTAAAATGAGGAATTCTCTTTTGAGTATCCAGAAAAGCGAGCTTCTCAGCTTCAGTACTATATAGGCAACTAAATAAGTCGGCCAGGGCGACTTATTTTATAGTATTAATGTGTTTTATATTTTTAGTGTTTTATATTTTAACTGATGTTTTGTAAGCCGCCCCGAGGCTTCAGTGAATGAGGCGGCACAGAAATTTTTAAATAAATAAATAAATAAAATAATTTGAAATAGTCTTGTAAAGAAGTAAGGTGCACTAGAAACAAATATCCTTGCTGAATATTTAATTTTAAGTAGCATTTGATGCTCGGGAACTGTAAATTTGATAAGGATGTTGAATGTAGCCTTGAACAAGAATGAATCAAAAGTGATTTTCCGCATAACTCTATCTGTTCATTTTGAATACATTGCCAGATATATAAGATATTTACTGCCATCACATTAGATTTCACAGTGAGGTACAACACAATTCATACAAAGAAATGCAGTAGCCAAGACCAAAGCAGCAGACTACAACTTTGAAGCGAACTAAGACTTTTTAAATTTAAATGAGTTAATCTGTTAAATGTAAGGGGAAATAAAAAATGTTTGTTATGTGTCTAAAGTATGATGTTGGTACCATGTGAGGCAATTAGCCTTGTGCTGACTGGGTATTGTGAAAATTGTCATCAAACACATCTGAAGGGTGCCATGCTGGGGAACTTTGCTGTAAATGAAGACCTCCATGAGTGGCAGCTAGTACTTAATACAGAGTAAGACAACGGACACTCCTCAAGCCACTGAAAACTGTTTGAGCTAGTCTGATGGTACTTTCGACACTCGTGGCTATAAATTACCTTGTTACAATTCAGACTACATTTCTTTTGGGAGTAATTTATTACCACTGAGCACAAGTATAACACACCTTGAAAATATCCTGGGATAGTATGTGGGGATGGCAAAATTTTTTATGTAAACAGTAGACTAATTGAAGAATAAAATTATAAATGGAAATTCTATTATGTGCAGTTTAATACAGAACAAGAGGAAGCTCATAAAATATTGTTGATTTATGGTTGATTCAAAGGGACTGGAAAATTTTTTGGTTTAGAGAACTATGTATAATTATCTTGGGAGCTTCAACAAAGTGCTAATTGACAAAGATATAAATGTTGGGGTTTGGGGGGAATTTGCAGGTTATGTCTAAGATCCCTAGGCATTCTTATTTTTCTTTTACTTTTTACTTTCTGTACTTTACATTTTTATTGTCTTAAAAGAAATGTGTCCTGGGATATGAAGGTGGGAGCAGCTTTTACCCCTTCTGTCAACTATTGTCACTTGAGCTAACCACTGTCTGTTGATGGAATCTATTTTTAAGGGCTATCAGACAGTTGAAAAGGGTGTGTGAAAATCATGCAAGTTACACTGAGCTTGCTCAAGTGAGTACAGGGCAAAAATGAAATAAACAAATTTACAGTGTTTCCATAGAAGTTAATAACCTTCATTGTTTTTATCAACTAAAGGGGCTATAATTGGAAATATGGATAAGATGCAGACAAAACTTCCATGTACTCCTATATGGAAGATGGTGGCTCTGTCTTTGGCATGAGTTAAGTTCTTATCTCCATGCCAACATTGTTCTAAAATACAGCTTTATCTGGTTGAACCTGCAGTGAAGTATGTGTCTTTTACAGAAGAGAAAGGCACTGTGTGCTAGATTTCTCAAGGTGCAATTCTGTGCAAGTTTAGACAAAGTCTAGAACTCCCAACATGTCTCAGTATAGCTGGCTAGGGCTTGCTGGGTGTTCTAGCCTTTTTCTTGTCTCTACTTGCATAGGATTATGTCTTAGAGGGGCTAGGGAATGCAGGTGGAATACGTATTTGAATGTTTTGAATACGTATTACAGGGAGTGTCAATGATGCATCTGGGAGAAAAATAGGATGGGTATACAAAGCTGTTTCTGCCGCAGCAAGCTATTTCTGCCAAAGTAAGCATCTTCCTAGCATCTCCATTTGAAAAAACTTAGCTGAGAAAAATAAAAGTACCTTGCCACCACACTGAATGTGTTATTTTTACATGTGTTAAGCATAGTTTTTGAAATTTGGTTTACTCCTCAGTACATGATGGCAATAGAACAGATTATCGATTCAGGCAATCTACTAAACTTTGTATTGAAAAATGTTCTGCAAATTAGATGTATTTGTATAGGAATCTTCTCAATTGCAGTGGAAAATGTTCTGAAGTCCCAGAGCAAGGATCAGTAAAATTGTGGCCTCATAGTTTTGTCTGCGACTTTCCCCACCGCTTAGTATTGGCTATGCTGGCTATACACCAACTCATCTAGAGGGCTGGAACTTGCCCTAGATCAGCCTTTCCCAATTTGGTATAGTCCAAAGGATCTCAAGGGCATCTCCCATCAGCATGGCCACCATAGCCAATGGAGAAGAACTATGGAAGTTTTAGTCTAAAACATCTGTAGAAATCAGGATGGAGAAAACTTAGCTCTAGAGTGCTTAACAAGCATTTATTTTACTTATTAAAGCCAAACTTTTTTTAAACATTCCAATATACAAGTTTTTCATCTGAAATATTTGAGGAAAATTATGAGAGCATACTTAATATGATTTAAATATTTCATTATGTAAATCTTTATTAGAATACTTGTAAAATTGTAAAGACAATAACATGGATATTAATAACATTGTTTAAATTCACAGGGGAAAAAAGGGAACTGAAATGCTAATTTTAGCAATCCAACGAATTGCATATGATATGCTGAGAATAACTCATCCATTTCCACAGAGTACACCTCCCTTCCTCTACAGTAGTCAGGCCACCTTTGATTTTGCTGTCATTGCTAAGTTCTTTTCCACTCTGAAATGTATGTTTGCTTCAGTGGCACACACATTCTCTCACATAGTTGCTAGGGATAATTACCTATATAATTATAACTTTGAAGCTGCCCAACTTGTTGAATATTGTATTTGTTTTTGGCATCCATTCATTGTTACCAATGAACTTATGAATCAAAGTTTTCTGGAAAAAATCCTGTTGATGCACTGAGGGAAAAAATCTATTTTGGAAAATTTCTCACTGCGGATCACTGGGATAGATTAGGGCTACATTAGAGGATGCATTCAAAATGAAGTGTGGCCTTAAGGTATAGATGAGCCATATTATTAAAATTCTTCTCCTTCTCTCCTTACCCAAAGTCACTATATTTTTCTAACCTACAGCATGCTGTAGAAATCTGCAGCACCTTGATCCTTCATAGTATAGCATGTGTATAGTCTGTGGTGGTAATCCATTGTTGCATGACCGGGGCAACCATATACAAGGTCTTTGTCTGTCCTCAGGATAGTAGCCCAAAGTGATTGCTCAGTTACTTGGTAATTGTTAGAATTAACTGATTGTGTGGAAGCTCAAAAGACCATATGTTGATCTGAATGAGATGTCTGAAACTGGAGAAGTCCACTTTGGCATGAAGAATGTCAGCGAATCTGTCAGTCAATGGATATTGTTAGGCAATTAATGCAAGCTTACACACTGCACTTGCAATGTGACTTAAAGAACAATACAAATACTGACCTTTCAATTTTACCTACTGTTTCTTTGTCCTTGATGATTAAAGTCCACAGGAGTTTTGTGCTGATCTCAAATAGCATGCAATCAGATTCTTAAAGTTTTGGGCTGTCTCCATGGTTCCAAGAAAAGCAGGTTTGGTTATTGAACTAGGTTTGAACTGAGAATAGCTGCCTTGATGCTGAGTTTCAACTATTAGTCCCTAAAAAGATCTTTTGATTTATTAAAAGAATATTAGAACTTTAGATTTTTTTTCCTTGCAAAGAAGAAATGATATTTGAATATTGAGACATCCTGTTGCTCAACTTTTGGAAAAACTTTTCTTGCTTCTTTAGCTTTAGATTTCAGAAATTACTTATTATTCAGCAATATGTTTTACCATTTTTATTTTTTTTGTATCCCACCCTTTACTGTGTCTCAGGCTGGCAGAGTATTTACTTGATGGAATATAAGCCTCTCCTGATTTCAGGGGCTTGTCCTAACCTAGCAATACCTTAAAATAGTGACTGCACTAGAGTAGGGATTGTAATATAGTGTCATAGCTGTGACTGCTTTAACCAGTAATGCAATATTCAAAACCTTATTTTTTAGGGACAGGCCTTCATCCCAAGTTTTCTCTTCTGCAGTCAAGATGGTGAGTGTGGGTGTGGGCACAAGGCCAAGCTGGCCAAGACAATCCAACCCAGGATTCAGGTGAGTTTTATTAAGGCTGCTGCTATGGCTAATCAGGAACTGGAACTGTCTGTACTGTTGCCTCTCTATCTTCTGCAGGTCTGGTATGGAGACAGATGAGACTGTCTTGCGAAGGAGACAGAAGCAGATAGACTATGGGAAAAACACCATTGGTTACCAGTATTTTGTCCAGCAAGTTCCTAAGTAAGCAATGTTGGTTGTTCTCCAAGTTACTATCTTCATGTCACAGAAGCTTAAACAATACAGCTTTCCAAACTCTCCCATCCCTAGTCCTTGGCATCTGGTGTGCTCATTTTGGGATATTCTCATGAACTTCTGGAAAGGTTCTGTCAGTCCTGCTCATCAGCACTAGTTCCAGGTTGAGGGGGGATTGGAGCAAGTGGTTCTTAATGCCCCCCATCCCTTAGTGGATCTACCTCTTCACCAACATTATCACCAGCTCCTCTTCCTTTATCTTTTCATTGCTATCATCCATGTACTTGCTAGACCAGTACACATGTAATATAAGCAGTAGCATCTATGGATCCTTATTACTCCAATTGTCTGGGTCAGAGTCAGCCAGGTAACCAGGCAGGTTGTAACAGTGAAGACGCTCTTACTTGTGGACCCGCTGGTTGAGTCGAGCCCCACAACGAGTGCTACCTGGTGCTGAACCTGTCTCCTGTGGTCTTGCTTTGGGAGGCCTTCATGTGGCCAATAGTGGGAGAAGCTGATGACCATTCATGACTCATTTCAGGGCTGCTCGGCAGTCTGGTATTCACCCGCGTACTCCAAATAAATATAAGAAGTACAGTCGCCGCTCATGGGACATGCAGATCAAGCTGTGGCGAAGGGCCTTGCATGGTTGGGATCCACCTGAACTGAATGCACATGGACTTGAGAGGGAAGTACTTGCTAGGTTTTTTGTTGTTCTTTTTACAAATTGGAAGGAAAGTATTTTGAGGAAATGAGAATCTCATGTATGCCCAGTATCCCCACCCAGACACTTTATTACAGAGAACTTACCAATGGAATTTCATATCTGATGGACTCTTGATTCCTTATTAGGAAGCAGCTACCTTTATTGTGCAGCACTCATTGCAAGCAGCCTGGTGACCCATTTATAAAGTAATCCTCACACACTGTTCAGGAATCGCAGGCCTAGTCTATATATGTACTCTCCCTGGTATTCCTTATCACCATGGAGACAGAGTTAATTGTCAACAGAGCTGTCGTGCTTCTCAATGAGAGCAAATGGTTCTTGTGCCTGTCAGAGCCTGGGAGTTTTTTGTACTGTGTTCACGTGGATATTGGAGGTGAGGTAGTCACATGGAAATGGGAAAAAAGAGAAATTAATGTGCCACAGAAGTGAAGAAAATAAACCTATTCATGAAATTTGAATTGTTGCTTATATTTTGGCAGCTACTCATCTCCTTAAAGGGGGTGGGGGCAAGCATTTAGCAATTGCTGTTCAGCTACTGTCAGTGGTCAAAAAGAAGACTTGTACTTTTCCAATATGGGTATGCTGGGGTGAAGGATTTGCTTGGTTTCAGGGGTGAGAACTTGGATCAAGGCTCACATTCTCTCAGAGATAATCTTAAATGGCTGAATATCAGTGGTAGATGGGGAGGGCCCCAAAGTGGGCAGGCCACACCCTTTTGTTGGGTCTCCCCCTCTCCCCCGGGGGCTCCCCCTTTTCTGCCTACTCAGCAAACCACCAAGGGGAGCAGATCACTTTGTCAGAGGTTTGAAGAAATTGCTTGCAGAAGACTTTTGAACCTAGGCCACTAATACAGCAGATTGTCCACCTCTGGTCTAGGATTAGGGTCTAATACTTTCAGCTGCCTGGTTCAATTGAATGAAGCTACTGTTTCGTTTGTAAGGCAGGAGCTGCTGATCAAAATGGGTCCTCTGGCTGATCTCTCAAATGACTGGATTGATGCCCAAGGGATCCTGGAAGGTATCTACCAAAGAGTCCCTGGAGGACAGGTACTATACCCTCTGTGGCTATATTTTTGGAATAGTTCTATAATCGGAGGATTTTGGCCTATATAAGTAAAGCCATTGGTGAGTGTGTGTGGATTTCTTCATTTTGCTGAACTGTGGAATTTTAGATTTTTGAGACATAAGATCCTAAGCACAGATTTGCTTTTGTGAAGGAAATGGGAATAACACGTCTTTTCCTTGCAGTCACTAAAGCCATTTATTTAAATTACTATTTTCATTCAATTTCTTTTGTACACTTAGTTTGCTGGGTTGTCATGTTGTGCTAACTTTTCTCCTCAGCTGCCTCAGAATGCTGCATCCAACTGGGAGAATTTTGTGGAAGATGTACAAGACTATCCATTCTGCTCCTGGCTGACAATTTGTTCCCCTGAGATCCCAAAGCAGCTGATGCCCTGGAAGAGTGTCTTAAATGGGGAAGCTTGAGCTATCCTCACTACTTTTACCTCATGATTCACTTGTGCCTTTAGCTTCCTATGATATCCACAATTTTGTAATGAATTACAACATTGTAATTCAGTTTTGTATTGAATTGCCTCTACTGTCTCCATTATCAATTGCTTTAAACAGTTTTCATATGGAACACTTGCTGTTAAATAATGTTGAAGTACCTGAGAAAGTACTTTTTGTCATATTTCTATGGCTGAAACGTGTATGGTGGTTGTTAGTCACGAAGTTGCATCTGACCCATTTCAGCCCCATGGACAACATTCCTCCAGGCCTTCCTGTCCTCCACCATCCCCCGGAGTCCACTCAAGCTCACACCAACTGCTTCAGTGACTCCATCCAGCCACCTCATTCTGTGCCTCCCTTTCTTTTGCCGTCAATAGTTCCCATCGGTAGGCTCTTCTCCAGTGAGTCCTTCTCATTACGTGGCCAAAGTATTTGAGTTTCATCTTCAGGATCTGGCCTTCTAAAGAGCAGTCAGGGTTGTACTACTTGCCTGCATTTTCTTGCATCATGGCATTGGCTGAGGGGAATAAGCAGGAGTTGAGAGCCACAACTGCCATGGACATTGGAAGGTGAGCTCCACATTGCCTTGCCTAGTTTAGTTCTGCTTGACACAAGTACAGTGGTGTGTTAAGTGTGTTTTTAATATTTGTTCCTCAGTCAAGATACTTCAGTTGCTTGACTGAGAATGTCATCTTTAGAATTCTAGGGTGAGGTAGAGAATTCACAAACATAGCTTACTGTAGGGATGAAGCTTGTATCTCTTCTATCTAAAGCTTTGGACCCTTTCCATTAAAAGTAAAGCTGAAGAAAGGTACATTGTGTGTGAGTTCCTAGAATCATATAAAGAAGGGGTGGGAAACTTGACCGTAGACAATTTGGCTTAAAACTCCCCTAATGAACCAAAAGGCTGGGAGTAAAATTCTAGTCTCCAGAGCTTCCCATTGAACTACACTTCCCGTCATGCTCTGCTACGTGGTACGGTCCATGGAGGGGGAGAGAAAAAAGATTTCTGTTGAGGTGTGAATAGCAGGAAACGGGAGTCCAAGCGTTGCAGAGAGAGCAGAAGGGAGGAATTGTGGTGGATACGCCAGTTCCTTTCCGAAATTACCTTGTAGATCGCTTAGGCGAGATGTGACTTCCCCTTTGTTTTGCCGAGGAGTGGTTCGGCCCAAGCAGGTCGACCCACTCCCGACCAAAGGGGGAACGGAGGCTCCTAGCGGGGGCTGGGAGCCCGGGCCGCCGGGTGGGGGCGGCACTTGGACGGTGGAGGGTCGATCGGTGGGTGCTGGTGCTCTGGGAGTCCGGGAGCGAGAACCTCCCCTGGGCGGATGGTTGGTTCCAGTGTTGTTTAGTATTGGGGGGCGCGCAAGACTATTGGGGGCGCACAACTGCTCTGGCGGAGGCCCCGCGAGGAGGTGTTGGAGGAGCCGCCGCCACCGCCTCCAGCTGGCGCGGTGGGTACCAGGGAAGGCGGTGCGCGGTGATGAGGGCTGCGGAGCTGGGGGTGCGCGCGTATAATGTTGAAATATGTGGGGGTGTATTCGGAATTGTGGTTCCAGGTGTGAGCGCGCGTATCTGTATTGGGGCGGGGGACATCCTGGGATCTCCGGCGGGATCGTCTTTGTGAAATATCTGCTTTATACACATCTGCTGTTGTCATAAAGGAAACTGAGGCTGAGGTGGTTTTGTTTTGTTTTTATGAGGGGTTGATTGTATGTGGGGGTTATATTGGGGGTTTCGGGAGAGGATGTGGGTTTTGGTGCTGCTTCTGAGCGTGTATGGGAATTTGGGGTGGAACAGAGGGCCTTGGTAGAGAAGTGAGGAGGGGGGAAGTGGCTTCCTCAGAGGAGGGTGGGATGGTTCTGCTTTGTTAGGCATTGCGTCCCCTGTGGATGCATTTCTAAAACTAGGTTGACGGGACCCATTCTTAAAAAGCACAGTTTAATCACACTGCCTGGTACAATCCTGTCATGGAGTCTCATCCAGGGGCTTCCCATCACAGAGGCTGGAGGTCGCTGAAGGCCTGCCAGTGTTTTGGATCTTAATAAGCGGGTAACTATACAGATGGAAGGATCTGAGTGTTGGTGAAATCTTGTAGGACAGGGTGAGAAATTAACTGCAACAAGGGGAAAGAAGAAGATACTTTGCTAAGCAATTAAAATTCTCTGAACAAAATTTAAAGGTATCAGGTAAACTGGCTTAATGTAGCTAGGCTTTCTAGAGGCTTGTGGCCTGAAGCTAATCAAATAAAAAGAGGAAGATCTGGTATAATTAATTGTCAAAGGGCAGGAAATGGAGGACAAGAATGATTTTAGCAAATCCTTAACAGTTTTAAAAAACACTACAGTATGCTTGGCATATTGTACACGGCATGGTGTTAATTTTTCTTGCAAATTTCTTTCCCACTCTATCCTTGAGGCCCAGGGTGGGTTACAGTACATTTTTATCTCACTTTATTCTCACAATAGTCCTGTTAGGAAGGTTGTTGTGAAGAGATACTGACTTATCCAAGGCCACCCAGTAGGCTCCATGACTGAGCAGGGGTTTGAACTTTTGTCTTTCAGATGCAAATGTACTTGCTATCAGTTGCTAAATTAACCAGGATTAAGGCTCTTGGTAAATTGCTGATGGCAGAAGCACTCTAGACCAGAGTCTAGCCAATATTTAGTCCAAGGAAATTTATGAAGGATTTTAGACATGTACTGTGTGCCAGACAAGTGACTGATTGTTGTATAGACTGATTGTCTATATATGTAAAACTCGAAGTAAGTCCTATTACTGTCTAGAAGGTAGCCATAGGGTTGCAGCTTTTCTCAATTTCTTATAGAGATTTAGGGAAGTGCATTCTTGTGGGTATCTATATAATGGGTTATTGAGTAAAAAGTTTTTAAAACTTGGATTTAATTAAAAATAGAATGGCTAAGAGTGAAGAATATTTCTTCAGTTCACTTACATAGCATCTCCAGTATATACGTACTTTGCTAAGTTCCAAAGCAGAGAGGTCTCTGATCCTGAGGAATGTACAGTCTCATATAGACCATGGGAACAGACTAAAATGATTAAGAGCTGCAGTGTGATTAATGTGAGCAAATCTACATAGGTTTTATTAAGAATCTTGTAATAAACTTTTGTACTTTATTACTGTTTTTGGAATTGTAGTTGCCATTCATTACTAAAATATTTCAGTAACTTTTACTTTAATACTAGTGGTTAATTTATGGAGCCTAGCCTTTGCCCCACTTTCAAAGATATTAAATAGTGTTTTTATAGCTCTGGTATGATTTTTTAAAAGGCTCTTATTGAAGCCAAATTAAACATGCAACAAAGGAGACCTAGGGAACACAAGGAATATGCAGACTAAAAAGCCCTCATATTTTAAGATAATGAAGAAGGGATGTAACATTTAAAAAACCTGGCATGTAGCAATGGTTTCAAGGAAGCAAACAACTGACCTTTCCCACCTTACTACTTATTTCTTGATCCAGCTAGGACTTGAATGCACAACCTGGGTCTTTGTGAATGCACAACCTGGGTCGTCACCTTCCCTTAACCCATTTCACTCTTTTGAATTAACAGTTTTCACAGGCATCTCTTGAACCTTCTTTCCCCATGGATTTGGGATCAGGTCTCTTGCCACATCCTCCAAAATGTGAAAGTTATTCCTATGCTAACAAATATTTAAATATGCACAGAAATTTTAATTTTGTACCCACTTGAAAGCAAGCCTCACTGAAATAAGTGGAATTTATTTCTAAGGAGACATGCCTAAGACTGCATTACATGGATTGTAAATTAATCACAATGTAATCCAATGCATATAAACTATGAAGTAAGTGCTACTGAATTCAGTGGGGCTTACTTCTTAGTGAGTGAGTATAGGATTGTAGTATTAGCACACTCAAAAGTAGTATATAAATTAATATACATTAATTTGCTTGAGTGTGAACACAATTAGAAGCTTGCTTTTACTTTGCATTTTCTCATTCTGGTATGGCCTTAAGTAGGGAGAATCTCTTTCTGCTGGGGTGCCAAATTCCATTTTGTAGAAACTGAGGGTTGCATTGGGTGGGTGGGGCTAGAAGTAAAAGGGGTGACAGCAAAAATACCAGCATATGTTAGCTTACAGCTTACTGCCAGAAACTAAGCATCAACATTTTAGCATGCGGAATAACTGTAGAAGTGCTAGGAAGTCACTAAACAATCAGTGATTCAAGGAAAGGGGCAGAGCCAGGGGAAAGGAGTGTGATACATTTTTTGAAGATCCTAAGTTAGACAGTCATTCAGGTCAGACTATAAAAGGGATCTTGGTTAGCAAAGCTGTGGAGGAAAGAGTGTGCTGTTGTGTATGGAAGCTGAGAAGTCTTATCTGCCCTACTGGCTTAAATTTATTTTACTCAGGTCTGCATGCATGTACCCTGGGAATTTTAGGGGGAGAGAAAGAACATAGTTTATTTCAATTTGCTTCTCAGACTTTGCCTACACCCTGCATATTGCATATGTTGGTAATAATAGAAGGGGAAAAGCATTATAAGTAATCTGGAGGGTGTAGCCATAGTTGGTTTATTTGTATATCACATTTTCTAGAATATATTTTGCTCAGAGTGGTTCACCAAACAAATATTATAGCTGCAATGATAGTACATTACCATCCTACATAAAATCTATTATAGTTTACTTAAAACATCCACATGTAAATAAAAAGGTGACATACCAGGTGGTCAGTTAACAATACTGGTTGTACGCTTATGCCGCATATTAATATGCCTGTCTCTTGCAGGCCCCCGAGGATGACATGGAGTATGGCTAGCTTATGATGAAGACAACAACTTAGCAGGTGTGGTAGCTGCTGCTGATATGATTGAGCACGGCTGGACTTGCTGAGGAAGGTAGAAGGGTGGCAGGAGCAGGAGTCTCTCGAGGGTTCTGATGCCAGGCCTCCACAAGAAGCCATGATCACCCTGATAACCGAGCAGCTACAGAAACAAAGCTTGGAGGAACTGAAATGCACATCCTTCAGCATCAGCCTGGTAAGATTTGACCTGTTTTGCCTTGCTCCTGGAAAGTGGAGTCAGGGTTAGAGA